GACAGTGCGAGGCCGGCCCAGGGGTCCAGGGCTACAGTGAAGATAGGGGCATGAGAAAGTGGCGTTTAAGGATAAAGCAAATGCTTGTGCTGCCATCACGGAGGTCAAGAATTTGCAACCAGAACCCCCGACCTGTCCCTCCTGAGGGTCCCTCCCTGCAAAGGTGAGCAGCTTCCTAAATAATAATTTCATAAAAGGGTCTTGTTTTTCCAATGAATTTATTTGCCACTGTGCCTTCTGCCATCTCTCCTTGACTTGAAGGAACCAGTTCTCCCGCCTTCTCAATTCTACACGGACATTCACAATTCACTGCCACTGACCCAACAAGCCAGAAAGGCCCCTGCGGGCTTCCAAGACTACAATGTTACCAGAGGAGAGCGGCTGGTGGACTCGAACAGCTGACCTTGACCTGTGGCTAGCAGCCCAACAAATAACCCACGACATCTCCAGGACTCCTACACACAACAGAACCTGACTATTTTTTTTAACTCACTCATATACTCATGTATAAGCCGAGTTTTCCAGCACATTTTATATTCCGGTTGGATTATATGGTAAACATTATGCAGCACAGCTCTGCCTGTTTTAGGATTTAGAGATGAGACCATTACCAAATGTTAGCAGTGTTTACTTCATATCGTGGCTGTATGATGGCTAGACTGGCTGCAGCTGTAGATGGTTTGTTTCTGCTGCTAAGCACTGAACACGTTCTTCGTCACCAAGGACAGGAACAGTGTGTGTCCACTGTTGCTGGCTTGGGAGGGCTAGAGACGGTCAAGTTTTTTTGAGTATGTGCCTGGATGACCACATGCCCGAACCCTCTGAACGTTACCTCGGGGTCATGGGGTGTGTACCCCCTGTCCAATTTCACAGTGTCGAGAAGCGGTAAGGGGGTACCAGCCTCTGAAGTGGAATCACGCCAAAGCAGCAAGGCTGGTTCAGTTTGTTTGGTATCTGGAGCGCCACCCCCATCTGGTGGAAGCGACGTGTATTGTAGGCCACGGAACAAAGGAAAGTGATTAAATGTCAATTCTGGGAGCCCAGCTACTTGAACCCTGTTTGAATGAACAAAATCGCCCAGAAAGTGAGAGTTAGATCAAGCAGGAGATGTGGGAACTAGAGTGTGTTCTGGGAATGTGGTATCATCAGATCCTTCCACTGGGCTGTGGGCATATTGGCTGGGGGCAGGCGTGGGTTGAAGTCCCACACAGAATGCCCACTGGGACCACTGAGGGAACTGACTGGAGCCTCACAGAGCTAGGGCTCTTGGGTTCGGACAGGAAAAGTAGCCTCAGAACATCTCAGAAGGACGAGCCGTGACAGCGGTGGGCAGACAGAAACCCGTGTTCTGACTCCAATCAAGGGGCCGCCCACAGTGCCTGTTTCCTCACCAAACAAGGGGCTTGGACTGAGCCCCTCTTCAGCTTTCATAGTCCACAGGCCGAGGAATAGGAGCATCTCTAGGGACAAGAACATGACCAAGAGCAGCAGCTTTGGTTTCTAGGTCGAGGCCGGGCCCTCACCAGGGGAAATCTTAGAGACTGGTAAGCAGTTAAGCTCTCAACTGCTAACCAAAGGGTAGGCAGTTCAAAGCCACCTGGTGGGTCTCCGGAAAAAGACCTGGTGATCTCCTGTAAAGATGACTCAAACCCCCTGCCGTGGACGAGCCAATGCCGGCTCACATCGACCTAGAGGACAGGGCAGAACTGCCCGGGGAGTTTCTGAGACGGCAGCTCTTTATGGGAGTAGAAAGCCCTGTCTTCTCCCTTGGAGCGGCTTGGGGTTTTGAACTGCTGACATTTCCAATCGCAGCCCAATTGGTAACCACCACAGGCTCCTAAGACAGCCTGGAAAAACGGATGGGGCCTTTCTACCCTGTGACACGGGCTCCCCACGAGTCAAAATCAACGAGGTCGAGGTCGGCGTGAAGTGGCATCTCCTGGTGGTGACAGAGCCTCCCTCTCTTTCAAACTAGACTTGGAGGAAGCGGGTCTTTATTTGCCAACTTTTTCTCTTTAAAAAAAAGTGACAAATAATATTAACGATAAAATGTGTCATTTTAACCACTAAAGAAAAAGGGGGGAAATAATGACAGCTCAGAGACCCTGGAGCAGGTTCCATTGTTCCATGATATTGCTGGGTCCAAACTACACTCAGGGACAATGACATTGGCAATGCTTAGCACAGCAACAATGCTTCGCATAAGCAACCATCCAGGGGCAGGGAGGAGGTAGCACCCGGAGACCTGGGCAACTAGGGCTCCCGCCAGGACTAGCTTAAGAGGGCCTCACCCTGCAGAGACCATCCACACCCGTGGCACCTGGAACTCCAGGCCCTAGACCTACTCCACAGCAGCTGAGTCGCCTGCCTGGCTCCTGACTCGGGTTATGGGCTCTTAGCCCAAGGACTGGCCAAGGAGCAGCTGTTTTTGATCGGTGAATGGAATTTGGCATCCATCCACATGAAGCTCTTTGGTGAAAGGGGAGGAGGTGAATCCCCACTTGTACTCCAGCCTGGGGCACCTTCAACACGAGGGTCTCTCCAAAATCAAACCCCCACTATGGTGTCTTCTAGCAAAGTAGGCTACTTGGTTCCACCAAGGGGACACTACTGAATAATTTGCTTAGTGCCTCTGCTCTACCTCCTAATTCCTGTGTAGTGCCTGGAATTTTAAAAGCTTGCAAACATTCACCCAAGGCAGGAATCATCCTTCTCTAGCTGCCAGGAGCCAGGCATCACAGAGTCAGGAGTAGAAGAAGGAAATGGATGGATGTTGCTAACGGCCCCCTGTGCCATGAGACCAGGAGTAGATGGCGCCCGGTTCCGGGCACTAAGCATTTTAATCAAGGATTGTGTAAAAGAATCCTGATCAGAATTTCAAATTCTCATGGAGCCCTGACTTTCTGGAGCCATGGACAGTAGATGAACCCCTGAAACTATAGCCTTGAGATAAACTAAACCTTCCATCAAAACATCCCCTGCAGGGAAAAAAACCCCAAAAAAAACATCCCCTGCGGTCTTCTTAAAACCAAATTAAAAAAAAAAAAACTCAAAAAAACCAATATCAAGTACTCCCTCAATGCAAGAATACTTTGTTCTATTAAACTGGCATTCCATGATGCTCACCTTCCC